ACTTTGTGAGGTTGAAATACCTATCTGCTGTGATCATGGCAGTAGATACCACTCACAAATACAAAAAAATTCAGTAAACTGGCTATGACAGAGACCCTGAGTGAGGATCTTCCTTGAGATATAAGACAATTAGAGACGATTTGCTGATGGGGAGGGTTCCTTTCTGCCCAGGCTGGGGCGAGGAACGTGCCCGAGAGACGACGTTTTGATTTTTCCATCCGGTGTCTAAGCAATAAGGCCAAGCAAAGAAGCAGTATCCCCCAAAGGGGCTTTAGAATAAGTCACTCCTAAATCTGCAGGCTTATGGCTCATGTGCCAAAACCCACCATCAGTCTGTTTTTATAGTGAGCTAAGAATGGTTTTCAGGTTTTTAAATAGTTGGAAAAAAAATCAAAAGAAGAATATTTTGTGACATATGAAAATTACATGAAATTCAAATTCTGCTATCCATAAATAAAGTTTTATTGGATTGCAGTCACACTCATTCATTTAAATTTTGTCTATGGCACTTTCCTACTACAACAGCAGAGCTGGGTAGTTGTGATAGACTGTGTGGCCCACAAAAATGACTTGCTATCTGGCCCTTTACAGAAAAAGTTTGTTGACTCCTGCTGTAGGAGAAGGACAGAAATAGAGGATGAGTGTAAGCAGGGAGTGGGTTGGGATTACCCCTTTAGGAGGATGGGTGACGGTGCTGTGATGGTTAAGATTGTGTGTCAACTTGGCTGGGCCATGACTCTCAGTGTTTTGGCAGTCATATAATGTGGTGATCACTTCCATGCTGAGATCTGACATGTGATCACTTCCATGATGGGATCTGCTATGAGTAGCCAAAGAGCTGAAAGGGAGTTTCCTTGGGCATGTGGCCTGCATCCAATATAAGTGAACATTCTGGCAAGGCTGATGGGCTTTTGCTCACTTTGGATCCGAAGCTGGCTCCTGTTTGTCTGACCTCTGGTTCTTGGGACTTGAGCTAGCAGCTTACCTGTGGTCTTGCCTGCCGATCTTGGGATTCGTCAGTCTTCACAGCCTGTGAGCAAGAGCCCTGCTCTTTGACTTGCCGATCTTGGGTTCACTAGCCCTGGCGACCATGTGAATCAGGAGAAGCCTCTATCCTGACCCATGGACTTGGGACATTCCAGCCTCTACAACCACGTGAGCCACTTCCTTGATATAAATCTCTCTCTATATATAAGCTTTACTGGTTTTGCTTCTCTAGAGAACCGAGCCTAAGACAGGTATCCAAAGTGGATATTGTGTTTTTGTGTCTTCTTAGCCACCACTCTGAGAGACAGGCTGTGTAACAGGTTTAAATTATTTATCTGAATTTCAGGGGGCTTATCTCTTTGAGATAAACAGTTTGAGGTGGAGACAGGACTATGTTTTTCAGTGGGCTCTGTGTGGGATCACATGTTGGGGCATACAGGCTTTCAGAAGGTGGAGTTCCTGGGTGGTGCAAATGGTTAATGTGCTCAGCTGCTAACCGAAAGGTTGAAGGTTTGAGTACACCAGAGGCACCTTGGAAGAAAGTCCTGGTGACCTACTTCTGAAAAACCAGCCATTGAAAACCCTATGGAATACAGTTCTACTCTGACACACATGGCGTCACCATCAGCCTGAGTTGACTTGACAGCAACTGGGTTAGGTGGCACATGGTGGGGTGGCTCTGAGAGAGGAGGGAGTTAATGAAAGAATCACTAGGATGGTGATGGAATGTCGGGAGGTGTGATGATCTTGGGGGAACCCTTATTTCTCCTCACTGAATTTCCCAAGAGGGGAGTAAACTTTTGCTCCTCTTTCCAAGAGGGAATTGTATTAGAGTGAACACTTCTGGTTTCTTTCCCTACTTGTATCCATTGGGACCACTTTACCAGTGGGTGAGGTTAGCTTACTTTCCAAACAAGTTACAGGCTCAATGCGGGCTTTCAGTCTCTCTCCCATATGTGGAAAATGAGATCTAGAAAGTCTAATTGGTTCTCAATGTTTTCCGACTTTTTCTACCATACACAGATGCAAAACATCCTGATGAAATTTGGATGTTTAAAAAAAATCTGGATATTTATTTGACCTCTTCAGGTTTTTGGAACAATGTTTTCACTTTTAATTTGCATGTTAGTTCCCATGCAGAAAAGTCATTGTCCTCTTCAACAAGCAGCTATGATGTAACGAAATACAGAGTTTGAAGTTGAAAAATTGGCTTTGAGTATCATATACCACTAAATTGCCTGGAACTGTGGAACTGATGAGTAAATCATTACTAATGTTTTTTCCCATTGGGGGTTGTCCATTCTGATAATGATGACTCAGAAGTCTCCAGATGACTAGCTTGTCCATGATTAAACGTTGCTTTTGAAAACTGTGGATGATTTTCAGCTCTGACCAACTGAATACTTATAGTGTCTTCTGGGAAAGGTGTGTTTTGCTTAGGTGGCAATATAAGGAAAGGGGAAAGATTCCTTACGCTATTTTCAAAATGGATTTGATGGCTCCCTACCTTTTGCAAATTAAACTGGTCTTGCTAGTCCCATTATGTCCAGAAATCATATTATCACATAAGCCAAAAACCAAACCACTTGCTGTCGAGACAATTCTGACTCATGGCGACCCCATGTGTTTCAGAGTAGAACTGCGCTCCATAGGGTTTTCAATGGCTGCGATCTTTCAGCAGTAGATTGCCAGGCCCTTCTTCTGAGGTGCCTCTGGGTGGATTTGAACCACCAACCTTTCAGTTAGTACCCAAACATTTAACCCTGTGTACCACCCAGTGACTCCATTATCACATATAAAGTCACCTTATCATTAAAACAGTTACTAAAACAAAAACAAAACAAAAAACAGACAATAGCTCAAAATCTCCTTCCTTCAGGAAACCTCCCGAGTAACTATAATTTACCTAATACTTTGAACCATTCAATGAAGTCTCAGAACACTTAATTGTATAAAATTAAAAAATACATGTACTTTTATTTTTTATCCATGAATGTCTTTTTGGTTTTCTCCAGTTATTTACTTACAATCTCTGCTTATAGTAGGCTGTCCTGGATTTTAATTTTGGCCCAGTTACTTTTTAGATGCATGATTTTGGGCTAATGAGTTTCTTCACCTGTAAAATGGGTATAAAATGATATCTACCTAATGGGGTTGTTATGATGGTTAAGTGAAATAATATATGGTAAGCACTTAGCATAGTGTATAGTTCACAGTAACTGCTCATTAGATGTCTAAGATAATTATTTTCTGTCCATTTTACTTGTCTGCGGGGCAATAAGGTGTACTGGGAAAAGCATGAGCTAAGGAGTTATTTAGTCCTGGGCTCCAATTCCGAGTCGGCCACCTACTGTGGCATCTTGAGAAATTTAATTAACCCTCTAAGTCACTATTTCCTCATCTCTCAAACGGATATACTGTAATAATATCCAGCTGAGTTGTTGAAAGTGCCTATTATGTCCCTTTCCTCCCAATCGATTATCAACAAGTTAACATTTATGAAGTCTGTTCTAAAGGCAATGCAAAGCACAAGGCGTCACACGAAGTTTTCAAAAGAAAATAAACGCGAGTTCTCCTCCACGGGGAACGATAACATCTCACAAAATCAAGCCAACCATGCACAATGAATTGCTGATGATACGTGTAAATGAAAGTGGGTCTCTCATCCATGCCCATTTATATTCTCCCCAGTGTGGATGTAGAGGAATTTTCAATGAGAGCCCTTTTCCTGGTATTTTTACAAGTCAGCAGATCTCCAAAGCTCGACCGAAATATGGGGCTGATTAAAGAGACTCTAGAAAAACTGGAACAGTCACACACTGGTCAGGGGCCAGTGCCACAGAAACTAGGATGAAAGAAACCTCTGCTTTCTCACCAAGGGCAAATATTCAGTCCCTCTCCGGGAGGCAAAGCACAAGGGCGAAATACTGGTCAAGTTGTCTGGACACGGATAAAAGGGTTGCACAAGGGCCCCTTACCCGCATCACCAGCCTCCCCAGCCTCCCCAGTCTCATCATGGAGGATTTTCCTCAAGCGTCGTGACCGACCAGAGGGCTGGGGCCGGAGCGGGCCCGGGCAAGGAGTCGCGGTGGCCCGGAGCGTCCCAGCCCTCACACAGTTAAACCTCTTTCAAGGAGACTGGAGGAGGGAGGGTCCCCGCCCACGAAAACGAAGATATTATCATCGCGGCGCCCCGCCCCC